TCCTTACGGTGTTTCTCACTCTAGTATTGGGGCAGGGCCCATCTTTTGTTCTATGTATGTACAGTGCCTAGCACAATGGTGTTCTAGTCCATTATAACTCATAGGCATAGGCACCAACTCCATGGGTGCTCTGGAGATGGGGGCTTAGGGAAAGAGGTGGAGTGGGGGCAGGACCTGGGGTGGAGCAGGGGTGGGAAGTGGCGGGGTGAGGGCTTGGGGGAAGGGGAGAAGTGTGGGCGGGGCCTGGGGCAGAGCTGGGGTCAAGCCCCCTCCAAGAACACAGGAAGTTGGCGCCTATTTTCATACTGGGTAGAGTAACAAAGCTGCTTTTCTATTCTTTAAATATCTAACACTGCTGTGAATCAAAACCATTGAGGAGGTTCAACTGTTGCCTCTGACAGTGAATTGTACAATTTTTGTTGTGTAAAAAATCATTACCTTTTATCTATATTAAATGTATTATCTTAACTTCCTTGAGTGGCCTCTTGTCATATGGGAAACGGTAAACAGCAGCACCTGACTGAGATCCTTTACTCGTAATTGTGTATAATGTCACTGCTCTGATTCTCTTTTAATGACCAGGAGCCAGACTGGCTGATTTACACAAAGGCCTGTACTGGAGGAGAGCTGGGGTGCTTCACCCCTTGCAGAGCTGAGAGATTGTGGTCCGGAGGTTGTACATCCTTTCCTTTGAGTGGTGCAATGTACTTGTCCAGGGGACCTGTTCAGCTGACTGGTCGAGTGGTGCCATTGTCTCACCTCTTCCCTGCCCATTTTGGGATGCTATGCACACTTGGGGACAGACAGAGGGAGCAGATTCTGAGCTTCAGAGTGAAGGGACAGCAATTGTCCCTAGTCTTTGAACAGGGCAGCATGGTAAGATGAGGCTTATTTTGACTTCTCCCCTTTCCTGACCTCAAAGATTTGCTTACGGGCTGAGGGTTATTTAGCCCTAAAGAAATCTAATCCTTTAAATTTCAGAATGTACAAGACTCCTCTGAATGCTTCCCTGTCTTTAATCATGTCTGATGCTACCTCCAAGAGATTCTTCTGATTCTTTTTAATACAACCACAAGATCTCACCATAGCCAACAGATCAGCTCTCATTTTTTCAGTAGCTTTATATTAAATACGTTTTAGATAAAGATTAATTTTCAATGTTCCTTGCTCAATATTTATGGTTTATCACCTAGCTTGAGATGGGAGCTGCTAGATGTTTGATTAGTCTTTTTGTATTATTTTTTGCTTGATCATCAAAAGGACCATCACAAAAGTCTGGGTTGGAAGAGACCTGATAGGCTATCAAGTTCAACTATTATCAAATTCTGTTTACATGAATTATGAGCATGGAATTATTTTCACTGTGCAGGGCAACCAACAAATAAAATTCTACTGCCATAGTAGCTCTGCTGAAGGGGTGATATTAACACCACTCTCTGCATCCCAGCTAGCTAATGGACAGGGAAAATGGAGCCTTAGTAATGGAAAATTAATAATACCATATGGAACGTGTAGGAAGAAATCTTGTGTTTGCGAAGTATTCGGGAACAGGTTGCAGAACAGAAATAGGTGAAATCAGAGAGATATGAAGTGGAAGACAGTAATTCCATGGTAGATAGAAAGGGAGTACTTGTGGCACCTTAGAGACTAACCAATTTATTTGAGCATAAGCTTTCGTGAGCTACAGCTCACTTCATCGGATGCATACGATGAAGTGAGCTGTAGCTCACGAAAGCTTATGCTCAAATAAATTGGTTAGTCTCTAAGGTGCCACAAGTACTCCTTTTCTTTTTGCGAATACAGACTAACACGGCTGTTACTCTGAAACATGGTAGATAGAGAAGATGGAAATGTTATTTTGGACTCCAATAAGGGCAGCCTGACAATGAAGATTTCTGATAATGGATGTGAGGTTCTACCAACTTCATGCAAGGAGATGGATTGCAGCTTCCATTTTCTGACAAACCAAACTTGAGAGAGTCATAAAGGAGGAGTTACAGTAGTAAAGCTGAAAGGAGATGAAAGCAGTACTCTGTGAGTTTGTTATAAAGAATATTACATTCCTGATACATCTTGGTCTAGCTTAACACATTAAAAATAAAAAAATTATAGAATTTTTAGTGTCAAAAATGAGATATAGCATAAGCCTATATATGGTCATTAAAAGAACACTAGTGGCATGATTCAACACACCATTACATCAATGTAAAAAGCCAAAAATGCAAGATCAACTGTGAAACTGTCCAGTTAACTCACAGATATAATTATGCAAAACTAAGCTATTTTTTTCGGCAGGAGGGCTGTCACAGGGTGGCCAGCCCACCTGTGGAATAACTAATTAGCTGCCTCCCAGATTGAGGGGGTGGGATTAAGGCGAGTCAGATGATAGTTTAATGGACACTTGGGCCTTGCACGAGGGTTGAGAGAACTCAGTCTGAGAGTAGAACCACAGGGAGTGGGTAGGTTTGGATGGAAGACCCTGAGAATGGTACGCCGAAGGGAACCAGCTTGTGCTCTGTCCCAAAGTAGCTCAAGGAGCTGGGAACAGGGCCTAGAGAATGGGTTGAAGACAAGCCCCTCAAGGGTAGAAGAACTTTGTTTACTGGGACTTTTTAGTTGGTCTTCTGCTACCCTGGAAAGGGTTAAGTCGTTTCCAGCACAGAGCAGTGTGTGGAGAGCTAAGGAATTCCACCCTGGGAAAGGAAACTGAGGCAGGGAGTGGTGGTAATGCCTGACTAGCAGAGGGTGCTATTGGGCAGCCAGGAGCCCCTAATCAGGTCCAATCCTGCAAATTAATCTACATGGGAAGATCCTTACACCAAGGTGGTGTCACATTCAAGCTGTCTTCATGTAGGCACAAAGATCTGCCCATGTGAATCTGACTACAGGGATGAAGACTTGGTTTGTAGGGGTTCTTCAGGTAAATCTTTTATTCAGTGTTGGTTTCTGTGAGTCTTGTATGTATTCAACTGGCAACTATAAATAAACTCACGTTCACTCAGAAATACTGTCAACTTTACTTTAGAACACAAAATTTAGATGACCTCTCATGTAACTATATATCCATAACTCATCTCCTTCCTAGCTGAAAAACAAGAAAACAACGTTCATGACCATTTTTAATCTGATTTTTTTTTATTGTGATGGCAATTTTTTAAACAGTTCAAAATTGTAATCAAACTATTGCCTATTGATGCAAGATATCAGAGTTTTGGTTAAAAACATGCAACAAAACACTAAATGCTAATCTAAACCCATCTGGACTAAATTTAAGATTTGTAATGACTGGTTTGGGGTTTCATTACAAAAATTTCTCACAACTGGAAATCTGAATAAATTTGGTTGATTTTTAATATTTGGATGCAGTTTATACAAAACAAAAAATAGATAAAATATAAAGAAAACAGCCTAGGGTTAACTAACACCCTGAATATATGACCCCTTTTTATAATCTAAACATGAAAAGCTATTGTTGTGTTTATTGTTTTTGTCTTTTTAATCTTTTCTTCATTAATTTGTGCTATTGCTTTATATTTTTATTGATATAAATGGAAAGCACCCGAGCACCGTCTAGTGGTTAGTCACAAAACTGACAACAGAGAACAGAAATGTCCAGATAGATATTTTCTGTGTTTATTGTGCCACCCAGTGTCCACTGATTGCTGTACCCGGTGAACTTCTTCAATGACTATTCATTCACTTGTCCCCATCTTTTATCTCTTGTCAGCTAAGCTACATTTTCCTGCCTTTGCAGCAATTGGAGTTCCATTTGTCAAAGTAGAGGTGGCTGTCTTGTTTATTTCTTAAAATTAAAAAATAAACTGAGTAACAATGGTCAGTGGAGTAACAATAGTTAAATGCAAATTCTGCAGTGACAACAGCCAAATTCAAACAAACTCACTTCCAGTATACAGGAAAGAGAAAATGTATCTTTTGCTTAGGCATGCAATAAGACATTTAATACAATAGACAAGATGATTATGTGCCAACTCTGTTAACTTAAAATTAATATTAGTGATGATGTGTTTTGACTCGCAAGGATAATTGCATTTGCCATTAAATTTTAAACTAATGGCAAATGCAATTAAATGCAATCAAGCACCCTGATTAGTTGGCCATTTCTGCACTGGGCACAGGGGAGGCTGCTCTAAGGTATGCCACCTGATAATGGTCCCTAAGAGGCATCTAATCAAATGTGAATTGCCAGAACAGTGTTTTCTAGCCACATCGCTTTTCCCTTTAAAGCCAGGGCTGTGCAGTAAATGCGGGGGGGGTTAGGCAAAGAAGCTGGATGTGTCATAGAATCATAGAATATCAGGGTTGGAAGGGTCCCCAGAAGGTCATCTAGTCCAACCCCCTGCTCGAAGCAGGACCAATTCCCAGTTAAATCATCCCAGCCAGGGATTACACAACAGAATAATCCTCAGAAGACGGAATTGTTTCTGTTCTCTTTGTGCAGGCACAGAGGCAACGAAGGGAGCTCCAGCAGTTGGGATACGCTGTACTCGTATGTATTTGTATTCCAGCGGTGCCCAGAGGCCCCAAGGAACCCCAGGGTACTACACACGCACAGAGGGAGAGGCTCCCGGCTAGCACAGCCCTACCAACCAGGCCGAGGGCTCGGGCTGAAACATCCAAGCAGCAGACATGGGAAGGGAAGCACGAGGCGATTAGAAGGCTCGCCCGCGATCACTGCGGGAGACTGCCCCAGAGCAAAGACTGTGCAACTCGGATCTCCTGGGTCCCAGCCCGGGGCCCGAACCACGGGAGCTACCGCGCCAGGGACAGGCCGCGCAGCCAGTGACCGGGCCGAGGGGTGGGGCTGCGCTGGCCCGGCGGAGCGGGGATCTCGAAGGGCTTGGGGCCCCTACAGGGGAAGAAGCAGGGCGGCGGGCAGCGCGGGCGACGGAGGGGGCTGTTTACATGGGAGGCGGCCTGCGGGGGCTCCCCGGGGCGGGGCACAGCGAGAGGAAGCCACGCCCACTAGCCTCGGCGGGTTGGATGGGGACAGGCCAGCGTGGGACGCTCCTTCCTTGTCCCCCCCACCGAGCCTGCGCACTAGAAGCTCCTCGGCGCTGACTCCTCCGGCTCGCCGTCCCTTTCCAGCGTGCCCTGAGCGGAGCGTGCGCGCCCGGCCGGGCGTTCGGGGAGATTCGTCGCGCGATGGCGGCGGCTGCCAGCGCTTCGGATATGTTCGACGCTATCGTGATGGCGGAGGAGAGGTGGGGCTGGCAGAGGGTAGCCCTGCCCGGGGCTCCGTCCGGTGTCTCCCCCTCTAACCGGACCGGGGGGGGGGGGGGAAGAAACGAACAATCCCGGAGGGGAACGAACTTATCCCGGGGCGGCTACAGGCCCCCCTTCGCTCCGCGCCCCGTTCGGGAGCCTCAGCGTGACTGGAAGCCGGCCGGAAGTCGGGTGTCGTGACGGTAACGTTCGGCCGCAACCTCAGCCCCCGGCGGGCAGGCTCCCCTAGCCGGGCACGCACGCGCCGACTCCCCCTCTTCTCCAGCTGCTGAGGTCAGGCTGCGCGCGGGGCTGCGGGCGGTTCTGTGGCAAGGTGGACAGATAACACAGGTGTGTAAGGCTGCGGAGCCTGGGGCTGGGGAGGTGCGTGAGAGCCGCCAGCCCGTGGCGGGGCTCTGACAAACCGTGTTCAGCACAGCTGAGAAGAGCGGGGCCTGCATGCGGGGGGACTGCCCCCGGTTGTGCCGTGATTTCCCAACGCTCTCCCCGTTAGGAAGGAAGGCACTTGTGTTACTGTGTTGACCTGTCGTGTGTGATCTGAAGGTCCAGTGAGGGGAAAATGTTCTAAATACCTAAAGTACCAAAATCTCTCCCTTCCTCACCTACCTTACCAAAGCAGGGGAGTTGTTTAATATATTAGGCTAAAGAATCATAGAAATTAGATTCTATGTTAGTTTTTTTGCAAATGCAGGTTGGAAGGAGAGCGTGCTGCACTGATTGGGATTTCAACTTTGGCCTCCATCATTGCAGACAAGATATCTACCATCATCTATGTTACATATCTGAATTCTTTCGTTTAACACTAATTTCTGAGAGTTTCCCCTTTAGATTTCCCTTTCCCTTCCCTAGCTTTTCTATGTTACCAAGACCTCAAATATTGCAGAATACTACTGTATGCTGTGTAGTGGTAGCTGTGTCAATCCCAGGATATGAGAGAGAAAAGGTGGGTGAGGTAATATATTTTATTGGACCAATGTCTGTTGGTGAGAGAAACAAGCATTTGAGCCAGAGCTGGATGATCTAACAGAACTTTTGTCGTCTTTAAATTACATTATTCTTTAATCTAATATATTAAACAACAACTTGGTCCAATAAATATTACCTCACCCACATTGTCTCTCTAATACCACTATATAGCACATAGAGTGGTGTAATTGTTACTCTACTTTGTCTCACGAATACGCCGTCTGAAATTGCTTTGAAATCTGTTGGAATTACAAAGGCAATATTTCAGTAAAAATAATAAAATATTCTGTATTTTTATGACCTAATATTTCTGCATTATGCCTTTGCTGATATGATTTTATTAGGATTAATTTTTTATATCTATTTCTCTTTACAGATTTCATGGTGAAGGGTATCAAGAAGGTTATGCTGAAGGAAGCCATGTTGGCGTTATTGAGGGAAGCAGGTATGGAGCACTACATGGTGCCAAGATTGGGTCTGAGGTAAATGTCAAAACTTCCTAAAAATCAATGTGTTGCTGAGATTAGATGATGATGTATTGAAGTAGTGCCTGAGCAAAGCATGATGGGTGACCTAAGCCTTGTATTGTTTTTATTGCTCCATGGCCTTCATTCCAGGAACACACAAAAAACTGATCTGTAAACTGTTCTGAATCCTCCATTTAATCCCTTACAAAAAGCTATATTAAGAACTTGAAATTCATGAGATGCCACAGCTGAGGTTATGCACATATATGTGCGTTGTGCAGTCTTTAATTACATAATAAGACAATTTCACATTTTTTCCTTCAACCCTAGGTACGCATGTGTCTTGTCTTGTACCACTATGCACCACTCTGTATTTTAGGCAATGTCAGTGAAACTCATTTAAAGGAGGTATTTTGTCACATGAATGCCGAAACATGAAGTTTCAACATTCTCAATATATTTTTGTATTGATTTTTTGTTTGTTTTTTTCAAGAAAAAGAGGGGGGGAAAAAAACATTAAAGCTCTTCTGGCTTGTACATATTGGCAATAAGAGGCTGTAACTTCCATAATCTGGAGCAGTTTGGCTAGATGCCACCTTGGCATCATATTCTGTGCATCTTAATAGAGAAGAGAAGAAGAGAAACCCACTCCTGTGTGTCCCAGGAGCTATTCAGGATCTAGGTTCCCACCTGCATATCTTAAAAAAAGTGAACAACAGCCCTTTCTACTTCTTTTTCACTTTTAGTACACTTTTTACTGTAATGCTAATTTAACCAGACTACTGTACAGTCTACCTTGTCTTTGCAGTTTAAGATCCCAGACTGCTTGCACAGTCTCATTGAGATCAGGTGGATTTCTGTGCAAGACTGGGACATGTGGGACAGTAATTATTTTATAATGTGAGTTTTTTATATATATATATTTTCCCCCTTTTTCATAATTAAAAGAAAGCCTTAACCATTTTTGCTCAAATTCACTTTCAGGAATAATTCAGCTCCGAAGATCAGGGCTTCAGAAAATTGAGTGACAGAAAACTGGGCATTAGAATGAGGACTGTTATGAAACTGAAATTGGCAGTCATCTCTTTTCAATATAATAAACAGTTAATTATGCTAAGAATCTGATCTTTCAGTGTTGGCTGCAGAGCTTTCTGATTTCATGTTATGGGCTTGCCTCAGAAGACCACAAAGGACTGAAAAGGACTACCAAAGGAGTGGTAGTCAAGACAATTGTGGCATTGCGAAAGCTCTCTGAGCTTGCTCAACCATTTTAAAAGATGCTAGATACAGATATCCTGCCAAATTTCTCTCTCAGGTATTTATAGGGAGTAAAATTTTCAAAAACACCCAAGTGGCTTAGGCACTTAAGACGCTAAGTTTCATTGAAAGTCAGTGGGACCTAGGCTCCTAAATCATGTTTGAAAATGCATGCATCTCCTAGGTGTCTTAAGTTGAATGCCATTCCCTTCCCCCTCTCCCCTCCCCCACCCATGCAGCTGGATTTGGAATTATGAATCAGAAGTGTGGTAACAGATGCACAAATTTCTGAGGGATCAAAGCAGATGAAATATGGTGGGGTGTTTTACAAAACTGCACTTTCCATCGCAGTTTATATTGGAGGTTCAACACACTCTGATGCGAAACAGATTTTAGAAGTAGCATAACAAGATGTTTTGATTTTAGTTTGTCATGTGCTAGTTATCAACCAGAATGTATATTTTTAAAATTATTGTTTAAATGAATACAGATAAAGGATAATTTTTTTTAATTGAATTCTTATAAATTCACAGATTGGATACTATCTTGGGTTTGCGTTGACATGGCAGCGTTTGCTTCACAGATCTGCAGAGGAAAAGCCCAGGTATGGTTTAAAAATATAGTATTATGTATTGTTAATATTGCCCTGAATTTCATAGTTTCTTTTCTCTAAGGAAAGGCTAAAATATTTTTATAGGAGCCCTGGTAATGCCCATTATTTTTTCAAGAAATATACAGGAGGAACAACTGATAGTTTGTTTTTTTTCCTTTGCATTACAAGAATCAAACTGGCCAACCACAGGTAGAGTGTTTTTGAAATGAAGTAAAGTAGAAACCATGAGAGTAACATACATGCAAGGATGCCCTCTTCACAGCTGTGATGCTGAGAAAAATATAAATTATTGGTATAAATGTAGATATTATCCTTTGAGTGAAACTACTAGTTGAGAACATACCAAGTTCTTACTGCTAAAGATTGAGGGTCAAAGTCTATGCAGCATCTCTTAGGTCCATATCCTTCAGCCATGGCACACTCCCTACACTGAAGTTATGATGGGGGTCCAAGTAGGATATCTTACTGCCCTCCTACACCATGCCACTGCTATCATCTATGTGGGGCCAAAGAGGAATGGCAGAATCTCTTCCTGCCTGTGTTTACTATTGCCTGTTCTTCTGCAGCATTCATAATTTCAGTGGCAGGAGGAATACAGAGCTGAAATCTTGGTTCTAAGGAAAGGAGTCTGTTGTGTTGGCCCACCCAGAGCGTCCTTTTAGTACAAGGGTGGGCAAACTTTTTGGCCCGAGGGCCACATTGGGGTGCAAAACTGAATGGAGGGCCGGGTATGGAAGGCTGTGCCTCCCCAAACAGCCTGGCCCCTCAGAACTCCCAACCCATCCAACCCCACCCCCCACCCTCTCCTTGTCCCCTGACCGCCCCCTCCCAGGACTTCCTGCTCCTCCCCCCCGAACCTCTGCCCTATCCAATCACTCCCTGTCCCCTGACTGTTCCCCCTCTGCTCCCTGCCCTCCAGGTTCCCCTGCCCCATATCCAACTCCCCAGGCCTCTTACCATGCCGCTCAGAGCAGCATGTCTGGAGCCGCACCGCTCGGCCAAAGCCAGACACGCTGCCCTGCACAAGCGCGCAGCCCTGCTGCTGAGAGTGCTGCCCATGCGGCTGCAGGAGAAGGGGAACAGCAGAGGAGGGGCTGGGGGCTAGCCTCCACGGTAGGGAACTCAGGGGCCGGGCAGGACGGTCCCACGGGCCGTAGTTTGCCCATCTCTGTTTTAGTACATGATGAATCTGGTGAGGTCCGTGATTTGGATCTGCTAATTGTGCCATCCATGAACCATGTAAGTTCTATACATCTAGGTATATTTAGCCAGCAGTCTTAGATATTCAGGTCCTCTTAATATGACAGGATTTATAGGCCTGCTAAATTTTTATAAATTTCCATTTATATAGTGTCTTTCATCGCAAGTCTTGTATATAATTTTATTCACGTAATGCCTGTCTAACAATGTATCACAGACACTTTGCAATATAACAACTAAAAACAAATTAAGTACTACAAATATACAAGATATAAACAATTAAAACCTATGTAAAATCATAAATAAAATCAGTGTTGCTTCAAAAGCTTTTTTAAATGTAAATATTTTTAAACTTGCTTTAAAAGAAGCTACTTCTGTTGTCGTCTTGTCATAAAATATGTGTGGTGGGGAAGGAGTATTTCAGTCCTGAAGCAACAGGTGCCAAAATACAGACAATTTTCATATTCCAGAAAACCTATACTTTAGACCTAAGAGAGTGGGATGGTTTAAAGGGATATTTAGGAATCCCTCAATGAAGAGCCTTGGGCTATGTTTACAGCACTGGAGAGGTTCTCCATCTCCCTGAGAGGCAGTAGGTAGTTCAGCAGAAAAATTCTCCTTTTGATCTGGCATAGTCTACACCTGGGGTTAAGTTGGCATAGCTACACTGTAATAAGTTTTTGGTGTAGACCAGCTCTTAGAGAGAATTTTAAATTCAGGTCACATTCCTGTAGACAGCTAATGAAGTGAACACAACAGGAATATGGATTTTCCACAGTCCATCCTATGTTACGCAGTTAGCTCAGTAAGCTGTAACATTCAACATTTGTTCAAATACTAGGTGTAATTCTTGATCAGGGCTGACATTAAATTAGGTATCAGCTGTGATCATAACTGATTTTTACCTTAAGTATGTGTGAGGGGAATAGTTTATATGGAAATACAGACCTTAGATAGAACTTAAAATGTAATATTTCAAATGGGTTTTCTCTTGGTAAGTTTTAAAGTAACTTTTCTCCATCAAGATGAAGATTCCAGAAGATAAAGTTGTTTGAGCTATATACCAGTTTCAGAACAGGAAGGTATTGTAATTGCCTTGTTGAAGAAATGGAGATGTTGAAAGTGATAATAAGTTTGAACTTATTTGTAATTTTGCTAAATGTTTGCTAAACAGGCTGATTCAAGGGTTCTGTTTTTAATAGGATTTTTAAAATGAACTTTTTGTAAACTGGTGACATAATGTCATCTTAAGACCTTGCTCTCAGGTAAGACTGTGCTAGCTTCCTCTAAAGTGGTCTCTGTATTTGGATTGTTTATATTTATTTATTTGGGGGGGAGGGGTGGTTGGGAAGAGTGGTTACAGACTTAGTCTCTCTGTGTAATACAAAACACTGAATATTTTTTATAGGACTTTTCCAAAGTGATGCTTGTTAAGGGTGACCTAATTTGAACCTGATTGGGCCAAGTTTCATGGCTCCAAGTTAGGTCTTGCACCTGATTTGTCTGAAGACCTTGGAGGAAGGCATTGCAAGGCAAAGCAAAGTTTCCAAACCAATACAATCAAAATTGGTTTGGAAACTTTTCTCCTCTCCTCTTCTCTGTCTTCTCTGCCAGGCTAAAAAAATTTTTGGGGGAGGGGGAAATAGCTCAGTGGTTTGTGCATGGGCCTGTTAAACCCAGGGTTGTGAGTTTAGTCCTTGAGGGCGCCATTTAGGGAACTGGGGCAAAAATTGGGGATTGCTCCTGCTTTGAGCAGGGGGTTAGACTAGATGACTTCCTAAGGTCCCTTCCAACCCTCATATTATATGATTCTATGATTAGAGGGCAACGAAAATGATTAGGGGGCTGGGGCACATGACTTACAAGGAGAGGCTGAGAGAACTGGGCTTATTTAGTCTGCAGAACAGAAGAGTGAGGGGGGATTTGATAGCAGCCTTCAACTGCCTGAAGGGGGGTTCCAAAGAGTATGGAGCTAGGCTGGTCTTAATGATGACAGATGACAGAACAAGAAGGAATGATCTCAAGTTGCAGCGGGAGAGGTCTAGGTTGGATATTAGGAAACACTATTTCACTAGGAGGGTGGTGAAGCACTGGAATGGGTTACCTAGGGAGGTGGTAGAATCTCTATGCTTAGAGCTTTTTAAGGCCTGGCTTGACAAAGCCATGGCTGGGATGATTTAGTTGGTGTTGGTCCTGGTTTGAGGAGGGGATTGGACTAGATGACCTCCTGAGGTCTCTTCCAACCCTAATCTTCTATGATTTTATGAAATGGAAGTCTGAGACGCTTTCAGGTCACAAGCCATCTGCGGAAAGACTGACCTTCCGGAATCTCCCAGACTGATCACCTTAGGGAGAGGAAGTCACAACATCAACAACCAGACTGCTCCAACTTTTGACTAGTCTCTCCCTATACCAGAAGGAGACCCGCTAGTGAGAAGCTCTCTGCCAGCAGAACATCACTATCTCCTTTACTGCTGTTCCAGAGCCTATTTTAGAAGAGACAAGAAGACTAAGAGCTGAAGAGTGTGCATCCCCTCTCTTATCTATCTTTTCTGTTTCTTTTATTTTTATTCACTGGGAGACACCCTAGCTTTTTATTTTCTGGATGTGGAAGTAAATGTGTGGCTGTGTGCATTCACATTTGTATGAGACCACCCATAAAGTCCACACAGCGAAGGTGCCTGAAAGAAAAGCTCCCCAGGTTTAAGCAGCCTTATATATTGTCTAAAAAATTATTCATTAAACTGTTATGTGTCGGTCTAAAAGTCCTGAGAGACTTGAGAGTGTCATCTATAATATCTGGTAAATAAGAGTTGTTAAGCATCTGCTGATCAAGAGTGTCCTGTTAAAGTCTCTGTTATTAGATCCTTGGTGGGCGGTGACGGGAAAGGGAGGAGGAAATGGTTAGACGCCACATAAGAATTGAAATCTGGGAAGGAAACTTTATAACTTGTTCTGAGGCTGTGTTCCAGACATTAGATGATTATTTGGTTTCAGTATTAAGATATTTAATCAAATCTATAACAGGAATGGTTGAATTTAGTAAAATTCTTTAGGTGAGACTCATAACCAAACAGACAGCTACTTCTTTAAACACCTCCTTGGAATTTAAGAATTATTTAGTATTAATTTGATTATTTAATTCCATGACAGTCTTGTGACTAATTTGTTTTCTTGATTTGATAGTGTAGTTTAATAGTAATGGTAACTTAGCTTCGGTGTTTTTTTTTTTTTTTAAGTATTTTAATAAAATTTATAAAAAGAGTAAATAGTGAGTAATATTTCTTTCAATACCAGAACATTTGAAGACCTGGGTGGATACCTACTCAGTCAATATAAAACCCTGACCAGCTTCTCCTAATTAGTTTTGGTTTGCACAGATGTCCAACTGCAGCTGTCTTGTTCACCTGACATACGCAGTGCATGTTAGTCTAATGTGAATGCCACAACTGTATTGCACTTCGTGTGTTTTAGAACTCTCAGTCAGTAATAACTGTGACTATAGGCTCCCAATTCCATTTTAGATGTGAGCTTTAGCTGTCAGGAATCATTTTCTCAAGCCAGTGAGATGTAAAGGCATCACTACTGTTTCATGAATGATCCAGAAGTAGTGCCAGAATGCCTGCAATCTCTGCTTACCCTACCTGAAGAATGGCTTAATTACTTCTATTTTTTCCTTACGGCAACACAAGTATGTCTTGCAAAATCTTTTTGATGCCAAGAGTCTGAATTTCTTAGTGCCTGTTCTGCCAAGTGGGAAGTAGATTTTTTTTTTTTTTAAACTCTGCCCTGTGTATATCTGTAGGTTACTATAAATTTTCTAGTGTCAGGTTGTAGTAAAGGTACCTTAAAGAGCCACCACCACACGTACACAACTTTGAAATATATTTTGGCAATCTGTCTTACATATATCAGCATTTATCAGCATTATTACTATTCTTGTTTACCAATATGTTTAATAATACGTTGCATTTTCATAGTTCCCTCCAGCCACTGGTCTGAAAATATATTATAAATATTTCCTAATGAGTCTAAGGAAAAATCTCTGTCAAGATATGTACAAGGCGTTTAACACAAAGTACACACAGTGTGCGTATTGAAAAACTAATAATGCATATGATTGACATTGGTAGTCTCATTGACTGAAATGGGGAGCATTGCGTGATAAAACGGTGGCAGGATTGGGTCATGTATTTTGAAGTGTAACACTAATATTAAATACTCGGTGTCGTCTTCATGTGGCAACTGAAAAAAATCTTCTTGCTGCTGAACAGAACCACCATAAGAAAATCTGTATTTTCATTTTTTGCAGTAAAAAGAAAATAAAGGCCCTGGAATCATTAATAGGAATGATTCAGAAATACCCTTTTGAAGACCCCATTTATGACAAACTTCACGAAGATCTGGAAAAAATCAGAGGAAAATTTAAACAGGTTTGTAGTACTTAGTTGTCATTTTAGAAGGTAATAGCAATTTCTGAAAAGACTGCAGTCTAATGTGGCAGTAATATAAAGCTGCAATTATGCAGTTCAGAGTAATTATTGTTATGCAATCTTTTTGGGCTACTTGTACCAGTTACAATTGTAATGTTTATTTAATTAGCGGGGGGGGGGAAACTAAGGTGCAATTCTCCAGTCCACAGAAAATGCAATAAACTCATCCTAAAGGAAAAAGCCATTTAATACTGACTTGAGAGAGAGCTGTGGAAGGGAGAGGAGGAAAGAGTAAAAATGGGGAGGGTATCTTGTTACAAATTTACCTGAAATACACACACACTTTAAAACACCTGTATGTGTTCTTTTTTCTTTTTAGGTTTGCTCATTGCTAAATATTCAGTCTGATTTTAGAATCAATCCTGAAAGATCTGCCCTTACTTTTTGAGCATAACAGATGAAGATAAAGAAGAAATGTTAAGGAACAGCTATCTGGGGGAGTGATTAACTATAATAAAGGCAGATAGTCAGAATATAAACAGGTTTTTATTTTCCGAAAGGGAGGGTAGAAGAGCTAAGCAGCAGTGGAAGGGCACCCCTTTAATGTTTGCTGTGTCCCAGTTTTATTTGTTCATTGCAACACCAGTGCATGTCCTATTTTAAAAAACAAAAATGCACAACCTCCATATTCATTCAACACTAGTCCCATATTGATAGTCTGTCTTTAATTTCTGGGGAAAATCATTTGCTTCTATGATGGTTTGTTTTATGATGTTTTTCCCTTATTTATTATCCAAAGGATGAATCTTTCAAACCATGTATAGATCTCTGAATTTACATAATATGTATACATTTACACAAATAGGTAGTAAGATATTTTCCTTGTCCTGAGGAGCTTACAATAAAGAGCTATGTTATTTTTGAGGGTGAAAGGGTGAAGCAGAGGATGGGATAACAATGAAGAGGAGGTGTATTACAGACATGGTTCTGAAAGCAGCTACAGCTCAAAAGAGAATATTGCTGCTCTGTTGTTGGTTTTTCTGTATTATTTTCGTGAGCTGAGACACCTGATGTCTGATCCAGTGCTGAAAAAAATGTATTGGCAGCTGAAAGTGCTGAACATATTTAAAAGAATGAGATCTACCAGTGCCACTTAGAATAACTAAGTAATGGTGAGGTGTGTGAGGTAATATCTTTTATTGGACCACTTCACCCACTTTTGTCTCTCACATTATGGGACCAAAAATGCTGCAATAATTGAGTGGTAAATTGTTTCCAAGATGGGAAATGTATTTTTCAATTTAATTTAGAAAATGGATGCTGTCAGAATATGTAAGTGAATACTCCACTATGTTAGTTTAAGAGAAACAAATTATTTTGTTCAAAAGATATTTTGTATTTTGGTGCTAGAATATTTATGTAACTTTTTACAAGTAGAATGTAAGGTGATCACTTCTAGAAGGCATTTCACTATAGTGTAGTGTATGTATATCTGTGGAGCTGGTTCACTTATGTCATTGAGCAACATTCCTTTATGTTAATTTTTAAATTTTTTCTAAATACAACTATACCAAAATTCATCATAATACACAAAGTAAATAAAGAGGATTACAACATTCCTTTTAACGTGTGTGTTCATCCTGCTTTCACATTTGAGATATGAAGAGGGGAAATTACAATTTTAGAAGGAGAATTCTAAAAAGTGATATATACCAGATCTTTAAATTTTTGTTTGACACATATGCCACTAACCAGAGGCTTTGTGTAAAAGCTATCACATTTTGACATTTTTGAATATATGTTTACATGGCAAAGCATAAAAGTACCTGCTTTAGAGCCACCTACTGGAAGAAGCTATTATATCAACTCAAAAATAAGATCCTCTTCTAAATGTATACATGTGACTCATCTTTAAATATTTTTGATTATGGTGTAAAAATTTACATTCTTTTGAAATAGTTTTCTTAAAGTATTAGTTTATACTGCTACAGTTTGCATTGATTTAATTAATGCCATAAAGAAAATGGAAAACATTCTAAAATAGATAACTATAACACATCAGAAAGAATTGTATGTCTAAGTAATCTTGTTTATGAATGTAAGTAAATGTTTCAAAACAAATATTTCTTCAGATAAATGGAAAACGTTTCAAGAGCTATCCTACAATACATTGAGGGTCAGTTAATATCAATAAAAAGCATCTGCATGGTAAACATGTTCAGCAATTAAGATTATTTAAAAGCTTTTTCCATGGGTATTTGGATGGTTGCCCTGTGGCATCTTTCATTGAAAAAATTTGGAAGCAAGATACCATCCTAAAATGGTCTATTCCTATAAAACAGCGTGCTGTGGGACCACCCCACACAATCTCTGAGTAGGTAAAAAGGGTCAGTTTAGCTTGTGACAAGCTGCTGGAAGAGAGCCAGGAACTGATAGACTAATTGATGATGAACCCCAGCTGAGTAGGGGCAGGCAAGCTTGTATCAAGCCAGCAAAGTGAGAGCAGAAGAGGCTGGTAGAAAGGAACTCTGCAGTCACTCCCTAGAGGAGGAGGTTTGGCAAGAGACAGAGAGGTTCTAGGGGGGTAAACCCTGGGATTTGGCCTGGGAATACAGATTCTGGCAAGAATTTCTTTTTGGGGTGGGGGTGGGGGGATAGTCACAGGGAGCAGAGGAAGCTCCACTGGTAAGGGCAGGGAGGGAGGTGGCAGAGCTAGAGAAGAAATAAAGGAGCCCAGGGAAGCAGTGACAGGGTGTGAGTGTGTGTAGAGAATGGTTGTTGGGGCATAGGGACTCTGGGCTGGAACCTGGAGTAGAGAGTGGGCTTGTGTTCCCCTTCCAGCCACTGTGGAAATGGCATAGTCAGGGCGGTGCATTGGAAGACTGCCTGAGACTATTCGTCCAGAGGAACTTCGATGTACCAGAAGGGGAAAACTATAGTGGCCATGCCACAAGGAGGGAGTAGCTTGGGTCCTGGAGAGGATGTAACTTGACTCCAAAAAGACTGAGGGAGACCAGGGGCTAGAGGCAAAAGGAGGGGGTGTCAGACTGGTTGAGAGCAAATCCCTAAATAAGCCACAAGGAGGTGTGTCAGCAATGAGTAGTAAACTGCAGTTTGAGGGTATCCCTCCGTAATTTAGTTTCTAACAGCCTTTTGGCAATCACATCCAGCTTTGGCAAGCAAACTCATGAAAAATGCTTAATTTTAACCTTATATTTATTCAGCTTTAATATACATTAGAGCAGGGGTTCTGAAACTTCATTGCACCATGACCCCCTTATGACAACAAAAATTAGCACACAACCCCATGAGGGGGGACTGAAGCCTGAGTCCACCCGAGTCCCACTGCCCTGGGTTGGAGGGGCCAAAGCCTGATCCCCACCACCCCAGACGGGGAAGGGGTCAAAGCCCAAGTTAAAGGGCTTCAAGACAAAGGGCTTCAGCCCAAGACAGGGGGCCTATAACCTGAGACCTGCTGCTCAGGGCTGTGGGGCTTGGGATGAAACCTGAGCCCCAGCAAGTCTAAACCAGCCCTGTTGACCCCATTAAAATGGGGTCACAACCCACTTTGGGGTCCTGACTCACAGTTTGAGAAGCGCTGCATTAGAAACAAATTGAATTAGCAAAAATAGCTGTGGAAACACTATCAAGAAAGGAAAATATCACTCTTGGGAAAATAAAATCTCATCTTTATATCCATTCCAATGAGATTTGCAAAATCAGTTAAAAAAAAATCTTAAACTGCATCTGTGAATCAGTTTTCTTTCAGGAATCAAATCAAAGGGTTTGTTACATATTGACTTCAAGAATGAAAGGATGCAGACCATTTGCTGTGTGACTAATTTTGACTGCTATAAAATGTGGTTGGTTGCAATCCCTTTATTATGTTCACAATGAAAAATCCAGAAACCAGTTCTTTTTTGGTGGTATGAAGAAAAAAATGGAAGTCAACTTACTGTTCCTGTGCACCATGGTAGTGGCAGAGATAAATAGCAAGGGATGCTGGACACCTGGAACTCATGTTTTTCAAGATTTGTATCTCTGTTTTGGGATCTTTGTCCTGGATCCACAAAGGGGATTTAGGTTAGAAAATCACAGGAACAATACTGTGATCCACAAAGCCTGAGTTAGGTATCTAGGCTCCCTATACAACAAATGGAAGAGAGAGGTGCCTTAGAATAGAATCTACAAAGCCAGCATTTCAGGTGAGGAGCTGCCTAAGCTAGCCAATAGAAGCTGTTGCTGAGAAGGGGACTAAGCCCCAGCCCTCTGTCAGTCTGGCATCTAAGTCCAGGCTGCTTGTGATTCACAAACCAGGGGAAGATGGGCACTGACCACCTAAGTTGTGTATGGGGCCCAATCAGATGCCACCTCATTCTACACAAAACAGCCAGGGAGAAGGAGGAGCTCCCTTAAAACCTTTTGTGTCATGGTTGGGGTACTCACTTGGGATGTGGGAGACCCTTCTAGTTGAAGTCCCCCTCTGCCTGATGAGGAGAAGGGATCTGAACAGGGATGTCCCACCTCTCTGGCAAATGCCCTAACCATTAGGATATAGATTTCGAACCCTCTGGCTCTATTATTTAAAGTGGAACAACTTCAGAAGGAGAGCTTGAGGAAGCCCCTATCAGAATACTCTGTAGCCTAGTGGTTAAATCACTCAACTGAGAGGGGGTAGATCCCTGTTCAGATGCCTTCTCGGCAGAGGGAGACTTGAGCTAAGGGTCTCCTGCTTCCCAGGTTTGTACCCTAACCACTAGGCTAAAGATTAGAAAGGTGGTTCTCCTTTTTCTCCCCTCCCATTGGATCAGGCCCTACATGTGACTTAGGGAGCTGAACATCTTTTCACTGGTCTGTAAATCATACTGGCACTTAGGTGGGGTATAGGCATTGGTGTGCCTGGAGTGAGGCATTAGTGTGTATGCTCAGAGGCTGAAACATAGTTGCCTAGGGAACTGTTACTGCGAAAACTACAGCACTCAGCGATTTTAGGCACCTACAAGGTTAAGCAGCAGTGAAGAGGAAGTTTTGTGGATCACAGTGGTGTCTAAAAATGGGACCTAGGCACCTAAGTATCTTTGTGTATCCCACCTTTCATGCCTGGTTTACAAACTTCAGTATAAATGAGGTAAGAGCATGAAGTCGCAAGACATCTGTAAATGATTTTATTACTATAACTTTATATATTGTAAGGTGAATGTAAAGTATCACATCCAGATACAGCAGTAAAGAAAGTAAATTCAAATATTTTAATCAATCCTTCTGAAATGGAAGGGCCTCAGCAAGTCAAAGCAGAGAGTTACTATGCAGTTGACTGACTTTAAATAGACATCAGTGGCTGTAAAACATGCAAATTCCTGCACACTAAATTGTCAGTTTCCTCAGACAAATAATTATATATCAAAAAACTATACAAACAATGTTAAGGTTGTAAAGTCAAGAACTCAAAAATTAGCAAATGCCAGTCTTAAGCTTGCCCTGCAACCTTAATTCAGCTCCTTTGTGCATATGCATTGTGATAGTTTTAATTACATGATTACTAAACATCTTCCAAAATCTGCAACAGATGAGGCACTACGTTCAGTACACTACCTTGATTCATCTCCTGAACATTCCTTATTGGCATAGGAATGAGCCAGGGGTCCTATGGAAAAATTGCGCTAATGTAAATTAATACTTTATTACAATGCATCTGCACAAGGAGGCCGAATGTTCTTTTAATGGTTTGTTGTGTATAACTTCCCAGGATTTTAAAACAGCAAACTGAAAAAAAACAGAAAATCTCATCGTATGGAACCATACTGATTCCACCAGAGGTTATCAGTAGCATTGGAACTTGTAGAGCCAGAGTAACTAACTGAATGCAGTAGTGTGTCATCCAACTATTAGAGGGGGACGAGGGAGATATTTGCTACTGGGTTTCCTTAATGGCAGCATTCAGAGAAATGGTGAGACTCAGGAATCCTGGATTCCAAACCATGTTCTGAGAGGAATGTATTCTAGTGGTTACAGAACCTCCTGTCCCTTCTGGCCTGTCTTTGATCCACTCTTTTGCCCCCAACTCCTGGCTTCTCATTTAAGCTCCCTTCCTCCACCACCTCAGCATCTGCCAGTCTTCCCTACCCTACCCTTGGCTTCATGTCCCAAACTCTTCCAACATTCTCCAAAAGCCCACTGCCCAGCTCCTCAACCTCTGTATTCCAGTCAAGCTGCTTCCTCCTTCCTGGGCACCACAGTAGTAGTAGTCAGGCTGGTCCAAATCCAATCAGTCTTATCTGAAACAAGCTAACAACTCTTGGCATTATCGTGCTAACTTACTTTTGGGTTTATAAGTAAAATTTAGAATGCCAGGTTCAATCATACTGCATTCTATCTCATGGTCTTTTGAAATTAAATTACTACTAATGTCAGGATCTAATACTGGCCTTGTGACACAAGAAATAATTAAATCTACATCTTTTATTATATACAGTACTTCAAAATTGTGATTTAATAGTAGTTATTTTTACAGGTTCTTTCCCCAAATACAATACAGTACTGTAGTGCAGTGATTCTAGATGCCCTGTTGAAATTTTTGACTAGTTGTTTAATTCTTACATACTGAAGTGTTCTTAAAAGG